CTAACACAAACTTGTCCAGTAGAAGTGAACGCAGCTCGATGTGTGAAACCCCCTCAGCTGATGGATCTCCCCCCTGACAAGCTCACAAATGGTTCGCTCCTATTCTTCCTCCGAGCTCCTCTCGATCTTTCGTTTTTCCTCCTCAAACCAAAGATGTATCTTTTTTAACTTTTATTGCAGGGGGCACCAGAGGTTGGGAGTTGACTTAAAGGAATTCAAATGTAAAATGCAGAGAGAACTCCTTTGATTTTTCAGGGGAATGACATGAAAAACCTGACGTTTACCACTGATATTTTATAACCCCTCTGAATAGATCTTAAAACTGTTGACGCACTGCTGATATCTGCCCTGATAAACACTCCAGCTACATATTTAAGATTTGCTCAAAACCCTTACAAACATCACCCATCACAATTCATTCATCTTCCACCTGTGTACATAAACTGCTTTCAGGCAGCTCCTGAAATTATCCGGAGGGGCTGAATATCAGAGTTGTTCCTGCTTCTCTGCATCTAGCGCCCTTATATAAATGCCGGATAATGTTCAAGTGAGAACCTGGCAGGATATGGTCCGTGCCCCAATTGTCCGGAGTTCATGTTTGAACATGGTTTTGTACAACTGAGATCTCAGGGGGGGAAACTGATTTATGTTCAGACATAATGCAGCATCAATGCAGCTTAACAGAGAAATGGTGTCATATGTTTCCAAATGGTGGATTCAAGTAGGCCAGAATGAGATTGAAAGAATAAACTTCAAATGTTGCCACTTTCCTGACACTGGCACAGAATTCAAAAGGGTTTTTATTTCAATACAAGTATGAAGTGATTTTTTTTTTCTTCTCCTCTTTTGTTTGCCTTCTCTCGGGAAATGTGCTCTTGCTCTCTCTCGTCCATATCCAGCTCTCTCAGTCTCTCTTGCCGAAGGAGAGCTAAGCCGCTTGGGACGGCCCGAGAGTCCGAACTGACGTAAACCTTTTAAGGAAGCTTTTATTTATATATTTATACTTTATATATATTCACTGTGTGCGCGTGTGTTAAGGCGTCGATATGGTTGGCTTCAGGGGCAGGAAAAGTGAGATGTGTTTGTGTGGAAGATTACTGCAGTAATAACGCAGGAGATTTAGATGATTTATTTCAGGGATATTACAGAGTGTTTTTTTTGATTTACCATGATCAAGGTGCATCTGGTAATACTGCCATGAGATGAGCTGAATAAACATAATGTGTTTTCTCTGGGATTGTGTTTCAGAGTGGAGAGTGGCCTTTTCCCCTTTTTTCTTGGTGTGAAATGAAGTTGCTTGGTTTTTCAATAGAAGGTTAATTTAGCCCCAGGATTTATTTTCCACCCATTTCTAATGTTTTTCTTTCCTTTTCTAAAGCCACGATATGAAGTGACTTTGACCTTGACTCTAAAATGCATTTATTCCAAATATATAAAAATAAATCAAACCATGCACGGAAATGAAATAACGGCCAAAAAACACAAACGTGTCTTTTTAAAGTCAGCAGCCATGCAACCTAAACAGCCTCTCCACTGTATTGTAAATATGTTTGCTTCCTCCAAGGTCAGCTGTATTTGTATTTACCGTGTTTGGCCTTCAGGGGCAGACTCTAATACGGCATATTATGTTATTTCAGTAAGCGAGGCGAGCATGTTCACTGCTTTTCTCCCTTCACTGCTGAGGAAATGGTCTGTGAAAACTAATCCATCAATTATTGCGAGATTTGATTCCCCACTCGCTCTCTTTCTCTCTCTCAGTCCCATGCTGCAAAGAGCATCACTTCTGTGTGCCGAGAATTTTTTTCTGCCTCGAGTTGAATCAGCCGGCGAGCTATTGACACAGTAAAGCTGAATTCAGCACCGGGAGGAGCGCATCGACAAACACATTAGACACGAGACGTTAAAACAAAATACAATGAACCCGTGGTGTGCAGATTACGCTCGCTCTTAAACACGCCCAGTGTGTGGAGGAGCTTATAAGAGCTTGTCGATTTTTTTATAGGTGGTATTAGTGAGCTTAGGCCACGGAGGATACTCAGTCACCGTTGTGGAAGATCAGAAAGCAGGTCATGCGAGTTCAGTTTAATCTCCAGCGCCTGCACTGATCAAACACTGTTCAAGGAGGTGCGTGTGTGTGTGTGAAAATGGTGGGTTTGTACCCTTGTTAATTTTCTGATTCAAATTCGTGGAGAAGATATCCTGCTGATGTCTTGTGGGGGGAAATGTTTGTGTAATCCTGAACATGGAAATGGGAGGATTGTCGTCATAATGAGCGTGTGGGTTTGTGAGAGAGAAAGCAAAGCAGAGATTAATTAGGAAATCATAGCTGCGAGTGTTCTCCCACTGTGTGGAGCACACACAGATTCATGATATATGACATGATAGTTGACCTTTATGCAGTTCATGCCGGGTATACGCCCTCCAGCTCTTTTCAAAAAAGTGAAAATGGGCATAAAAATGCTTGCAAGCTGTTTCTGACTGCAAAGACGGCAAAGCTGGTAAAGAGAGGGGGCAAAAATGATGGAGAGAAAATTGCGAGTAACCAGAGATCAAAGCTGAGAAAGGTAGATGGTTAGGATGAATCAAGCAGTGATTTAAAAGATAAGAGTTCAGTTTTTTTCCATCCTTCACTCTCCTGTGAGGTGCTTTTCCCCAAATGTGGTGGAAGGAATGACTCAAATATCATCGACTCAGGCCTGTGGGGATGTCAGTGTGTGTGTGTGCGTGCGTGTGCGTGCGTGTGTGTGTGTTGTAACTAACTCTGTCGCACACATCGCTTCCTCACCAGTAAAACCCACTGACTGAATTCAAACGAGCTCGGCTGTTTCTCCTCCCTCCATGCTGTTGAGAAAAAAGATGACTCGACACTTTTGGAGTGTCCGTGGTCTTTATTCACGTAAATATGACACAGCACAAAGCCACAGGATCGAGGTCCTGTGCTCCACCAATCGTGAGTCAGTCTCAGCTGCCAATCATCACAACATTCCAACCACTAACATGTTGGAGGTGGGATTCATGCGCTGTACTGCAGCCAGCCAACAGGGGGCGATCAAGCGGGTTTGGCTTCACTTCAAGGAGAAGTCATGGTGGAGTAGTTAGTCAATTAAACAAAAGAATTACCCTGGAGTGATAATCAGAACAGAAAGTCTGTTTTTGTTTTTGTCGGAAGTTAAACTAAATTGTCCCACATGTTTTCCTATCAACAACTTATTTTACATGTTTGCTGTAAATTCCCAGCAAGTAAATATAATTAGATCAGTAACAACAAATAACTTTCAACCTGATTGTTTATTTTCTTTTACCGACCTGCAAAACTCACACAACATACACACCCTTAATCTGTGTGAACAAATGGCTGCGCTGTCCCAGAGCTCCCACTAATCTACGTCCCCTCGGAGGCCGGCAGTGTTCTCGACCTATTAAAAACGGCCGCGGCGGTGTCATGTACGTTGTGGCGCACACAATTAGAGGAGCCATTAACAATAGGAATTAATTTGCTGTCACACCCTCCCTGCGCTGTCTGCCATTGTTGCTGGCAGACACGTCCCCAACTCCCCCTTCAAAATAAAAGAGATAAAACAATCTTTGCAGTCACGCTAGAGGCTTTTTGGGGTTTAATAAAATCCCGTCATGTGAACTATTGCTCTTCACGGCAGAGAGCAGGTGTGTTGGAAATAACAGACTGAAGTGTTCTTGAGGAGTAGTGCTCCTTCAGGAGGTTTTTTTAGATGTACTTGTTCAGTCTGTCCTCACCCAGGGGACAGAAAGAAAGACATGACAGCTGGGTGATTGACTACAAGGCGGAAAGGTCTAATGGGCACGGAGGGGTGGTTGCTGCTCGGAATGTGTTCCCCTCCGTCCATTTCTGTGTCCCTTGTCCAGGGGTAGGGCGTATGAAAAGCTGCTGCTCTCTTTTACCGGCTACATCTTCTGACAGCAAGAGTAATCGAGCAAATTCCTCTATTGCACAACACACCGTGCGCCTGCAGGACCCCGGGAATAGGGGGATGGGAGGTCGTATATATGAGCAACGGGGGGGAAAAAAAAATCAGTGGAAAAGGAAAGGAAGGAGAAAAGATGAGTTGTACGGGGGAAGGGAGGATATTGAAGGACGTGATAGATGAAGCAGGGTCCAAGTGAAGGAGAGGACACAGTGATGGAGAGAGAAAAGCCAAAGGCACTCAAGGCTCTTGCACATTAAATTTTTACATCCTTGCTCTTCGCTCCATCTCTGCATCACCTTCACCTGTGACTGTATATATCTACAATATCTTGGGATATGGGAAAATGCATTATTAGTGGACCTGCTGAAGCTGCAATGTATATTTCTCTTTTGCCAAAATGAGGCGTTGCTAAATTGTTATTGGATTTTAGAGTTTTTCCTTTAATTCTGTGGGTTCACCCACGTTAAATAAAACTGGAAATACCTGCTGATTTTGGTGGAAAATCTGTTTTCAAACTCTCTCTTCTTCTTCTGTCTCTGTCCGTGGTGCTGAAATAGACCAATCCCATGTCTTCTTGTGTCTGTCTCCATGGTGATGAAACATTGGAAATCAGTCTCCGTTTTCTTTTTCTTTTTTTTCACCAACCGATCACAGAGAAACAAATCACAAAGCGATGAATATTAAACAAGACTGTTCACTTCATCTGCATCTTACACAAAACTCCCCTCATCTGAATATAACACACTGTTCCCACTCTTAACTTTAAAGCCCACAAACACTTCACATTGATGTGATCTAGTTTACGGTGACCTGTAGAATTAAGTTATATTCACTCGGCTTGTGCATAAACCTTCTTGCATCTCGTTGTTCTGAGTTGGATTAATCAAAATCTCTTAAACTGCGAAAGCTTGTTTCGTAAATGGTTCATCTCCGCCTGACCTGTTCTCACGCAGGCGCTCGCTTGCTCTAAGACTGGATACAGAAAATACCATGAAGACCCTGCTGATCATTTTATTTATCATTATTCTTCTTATTATTCTGTTTTCTTTCTCACAGAAACCAAACAGTGCTGCACCAGTTCTGCTGCCCAGCCCCCGAGGCCCCAGAGGGGGAGACATCGACCGCCTGTGTCCCCAGGTAAGATTTACTGCACCCTTGTCACATCTGCACAAATTTAATTTTCTTTTTCAAATATTCGTATTATTTTCACTTTGAAATATTTATTTTCTGTATATTTCAATTACAGCCACATATCATGCATCCTGTTAGTAGCGGTGCTGCAGTAGCTACTCTAAGCAAAACTACCCCAGCAGTGTTAAGTTGAAGTGGTTGTAAAGGCTTCAGGGTCTCCTGAGGGACAATCTGAATTATTCCCCCTCCATAGTAATAATATTAGACTCATATGATCTTGAGAAAGTGACCTCACAGTCACTCCACAGTTTTGCCACATCTGCTTGGGTTCTGCGTCAGTGAAATCGAGACTCCAAATGTAATTTGCCATTTTTGTATCGTCTTTGTCAGACGATCCAGATTAATCCACCGGAACACAGTGAAAACATCCAAATCAGTCACATCAACATCCCATTTCCTTCTGGTCGAGTCCTTGGCCAAGCTTTGAGCAAGTAGAAAAATATTACACTGAGTTTAGGAGACAAAGCTGGATGATGATGATGATGCTGTTATCTCTTTGTGTCAGATCGGCAGACGACAGTGACAGAGCAGATGCTGCCAGCCAGAAATCCACCACTTCAAATACTTGTGTATGAATTACAAACAGCTTCTTTCATTTTCCAATGAAACTTCTCAAGTCAGACACTTTGAAAGCTCCGGTGTTGGTTTGATGTGGTAATTTTCCCCCACAGTCCTGAGAAATACGAAAAAAGTTCAGGTAATAATTATCTGCTGAAATAACTATACTTGAATACACCTTCCAGCTTGCCAGGCAGCTATAAAAGGGAGAATAATAATTCATATTTAGTGTTGAATAGATAAATAAACAATAAGAAATAAGAAACAGCTCTAATACGTTTCTATTTTTGCCCTTTTCAAGTTGAACTGACAGCCCATTGCGGAATTTGTTTGCCTTTATTTAGTAAAGTTCCCTCCAACACCGGAGCATCACTAAAAATTACAGCGTTCATCTGGCCAAGGCGCATCAATAGCAATTAAGCCATCTGCCCCAAAATGACTTGTTTGTTGGGGGATTGCACTTCACAGGATTGTTTGCTGCATTGTCCTGAGCTCGGCAGAAAATAACAGATAAGCAAATGTGGTATTGATGGCAAATCATAGCCCCCGCAGTGCAGGACGCGAAGTAGGAAAGCTGCAGACCGACAACAAGCCTCCGACAATCAGACTTTAAACAGCTCAGAGGCTTAAATCATGGAGAGATTGAAAGACAGTAATGTAGGAGGAAGAGATGAAAGTGGACATTAATCATCAGCTCTGTTTGCCACTTGGAAGATCTTTATATTGTTATCAAATATATATATAGAGATTCTTCTCAAATTCAGGTTTATCACTTAAAAAGGTTGACATGCGCTTATATGTTCAGACAACACATCACTTTCTTCAGACTGTCCATCGCTGCAGCTCCTCTTTTCAGCCTCTGTCAGATACACTTGGCTTTAGCTCCTGTCTCTTTTGGATTTTTAACTTTTATACAACTAGAATCAGCAAAGCCCATACCTCCGTCAAAGCCCATCTTTGCAGTCGCCTTAAACATACTAGTTCTAATCTCTTAGAAATATGTGAGAACGCCCCGTCACGCAATGTTTTCAGAAAGTGAATAAAATCTGCACCAAAATTTGATGAGTTATTCCATAAAAAGCAAATATGTCTCCTTTAAATACAAGTGCAGAGCTGCAGTGGTTCAAACTGATGGAGTGACTTTCAAAAGGTCAGAGCTTGAACTTTGCTTGATAGAACCTGTTGTCTTCTGTGATTGCCTTGTGTTCAATGACCATTAGCTAAAGCTACAACCACAGAGCACCTTCCTCCTCCCTTACACCTTAAACCACCCCACCCACCCCGTCCCTGAAGCAAACCACTTCAACTCAGGACTGTCTGGGGCGAAGGCAGGAAGCAGCTTGTGGTTTTGTCCCTTTCTTTTGTTCTCGTTGGCGTCTCCTCTCGTTTCGAGAGCCCGTATTCTGTTGTCGTTGATTTTCTGTATTTCCGCATTGTTGTCAGTGATTCGTTGAGCATCCTTCTCACGTGGCATCGGCACATCGCATCACATCACAGCGACATAACTCCACATGAGCACACGAGCCATTGCATCCATCGTTCATTCATGTTCACTTCATTCGGGCTTGTCTCTCCACTGTGGTCACGTTAAGTTTGAAAGAGTCATGTATGAGTATTGCCATGTAACCAGAGTGTAATTCTGCAATGTAAAAAAAAAAAAAAAAACTGCCATAATGCATTGATGTGTGTACTGTAGGGTCTTTCCCATGCTGGAAACTGGTGAGCCTTCTTGTTGACACATGTAATGCATCTGTGTTCATGTGAAAAAAAAAAAAGTTCTTATCATGTTGCATGCTTTGGCTTGGCAGTGATCAGAACATAGCTCCCTGTCTTTCTCCGTGTGTTTGAGTGTGTATTTGTCCCTGTGTGTGTGTGTGTGTGTGCTGGTGTGTCACCACAGTACACACCGCGTACAGAAGATCATTTGCATATACTCCAGGAAAACACACAAAACTGTGCACAGGCAGGGAAATCCTTAATCATAAAGAGATGAGTGAGTCATTCACCTTTTACTAAGCTTGTTGAATCCTCAGATTTTTTGCTTGTTTTTCTCTTCCTCTTTATTCACATGCAAATATTATTTCTTTAAATATTCATTATTTGAGGAATATATAAATAAATGATAGTGAAATAAAAAAAATAAAAAAAAACCTGACCAGACTCATGATCAGCTCACTGAGCACGCTCACAATGTTCTTTTCTGGTATTTGACAGATCAACTATATCGCCACCTACAGGCCCAGCTTGCTTGTTTGAGTATTTGAAGTCAGTTTGCGTTCTCGTCTGGACTTTGATATTTTACATAACAAAGGTCGTGCAGACGGGGAAAATGTCAGTTTCCAAAAAATCTGCATAGTGTAGACAAGGACTCACACTTTACAACCATAGCAGAGAGTGAAACGAGTAGAAAAGAAACACACTCACTTTATCGCCTAAGCAGCATATGGATGTGGCCCTGCACAAAATGGATGGGACCTAAAGTCGCCCGACTTGTGGGACTTGGGTGCGGTGCTTTAGGTAAAATGTAATCTGGATGTGAATCTAGAGTGGCACATGAGGTGAATGGTGACTATTGCCCAATGAGCACATAACAAACTCGTGCCACCTTTGGTTAACAGGCCGTTTGGCTATGGCTAACTTGTGGTCCAGATATGGCAAACAGGAGCAGACCGCCCAAGTGCCATCATTCCACGCTGCATGTGGGCTGGATGCCAGTGTGGCAGTGTGGAGCAAATCTGGGCCAATATGATTTATTATTTATGGCCAACTCTAATTCAGAGGGGGTCAATCATGTCCAAGACTGGCTGCCATTTGTCCTGAAGGGCGGGGAGTTACTCAGAGTCGGTCAGCGCAGGTAAGTCCTCATGAATCCAGAACTTATAGTCTTCCTCGCTACTTGTCGAAATGTCCCAAATCAGTTTTATCTGTCTGCACCTGAGGAGCTTCATCCCATCATTTAGGTAGAAGTGGGGAAACAACTAGTTAATAAGACAGTGGATGTTAATTAAGTGAGCATTAAGTTGGAAGTAGTGAAGTGCAAAGAGAAGTTAGGATTTCACTGTCACATATAATGAGGACCCTGCGGAGGCTGAAAACTCACCCTGACAGCCCTTGGTCACTGCTGCCAGGCTTTAAGGAGGCACCTGAGGTTTTAGAGGGACTACAGGGGGGGTGTATTCAGGGTCCCACAGTCAGATCTTTAATCACTCATGGAAAAGGTGAGCTTATGCAGGATGGCCGCAGCCTTTCAATTAGTAGTTTGAGCCATCTTCTGCTGCAGTGTGCAACAAATAAAAATGCACCAAGTAGTTTTGTTGTTGGTTTAACGGTTCCATAGAGGAGGTTAGTTATACATTTCTGCTGTGCAGCAAAACTGAGAAGTGCCATGGTACACACACACACACACACACACACACACACACACACAATAAATGGACAGAACACTTTGCTAGTAGAATATTAATTTTGCTGCACAACTTTCTTGTGTTAACGGACATGAAAAGTAGCAGCAGCATCAGGTTTGACAGATGTGCCCATGCAGCCTCTCCATCTTCAGACAAAGGGAGGAATATTAGATGCAATTTCAAAACTTGTGCCACCTGCAGGGAATTAAAAGTAAAATCAAATCACGGCAGATTTTACTTCATGTGCTTGTTGGGAGACACATCAGCATCAATTTCATGCTGCGATTTTCTGTGGTGCAACCTGCCGAATGAAAAACTAGTATCACAGCTTTACCTGCTTAATGTACAGGAGTGTGATTATATAATAGTAATATATGTGAGTCGTGATGTCGCAGAATGAGAAGCATTACATCTAAACAGAGAGATGCAGCGAACAACACCAACAACTGGGTTTCTTATAAATAGGAGCGTATTCCTGAAGTGGCATCAGAGACACAGGAGACAGAACAGCACAGTGTCTTTAATCAAAGACTTTCCTGTCTCAAGCGAGTGTCAATGTGTTTTTGCAATACATCACCATTTGCATAAAAACAAAAACACCACTTTTGCTGAGTCCTCATTCTTTGCTGTTTAAATTTAACTTTGTAAAACTTTTTTTTTGGACAAATAAGCTTTATCTCCATGAAGAAACGACACAACTCAAACAAAATAGTTTCCCCCTCGCGGCTGAGTAATCCTGGACACTAAACGATGGGACGGCTCGCATGTTTGGACACAGAGTTAAATATGAGCCTTTGGCAGGTGAAGGCATACGTTTGTTGGCACGATACTCGAGCCCGTTGGCGGTTCAGCTGCCAAGCCGACTGCTAGCAGCGTTCACAGTAACACTAACATCCTGCTCACAATCTGAAACCCCTTTAAATGAGTGAGCTCCTGCTGTGCCCTCGACAAATGAGTTGCACTCGCATTCAAAAGCCAGTGCCT